TGGCCAATATCACAGCAATGATAACCCTAAGACTAACCCCATTGGCCAATATCACAGCGATGATGACCCTAAGACCATCCCCATTGGCCAAAATCACAGCGAAAATAACCCTAATACCATCCCCACTGGCCAATATCACAGCAATGATAACCCTAAGACTAACCCCATTGGCCAATATCACAGCGAAGATAACCCTAAGAACAACCCCATCGGCCTCCCTTGACACACTCTTGCTCATTTGCTGTTATTTAGTTCATCACTTTCATTCATTTATTATTTCTTTACATTATAACGATTTATTAATTTTACTATTTTGTTAAATGGTGTTTTACTTACATGGCGGTCAGAAGAGGGCATTCAATCCCCTGGAACTAACTAAAGTTACAGATGGATAATGAGCCACCATGTGGGTGCTAGGAGTCCAACCCAGGTCCTCTGTAAGAGCAACTAGTGCTCTCAACTGCTGAACCATTTATTTCTTAACTGTCAGCTAATGAATTCAGTGCTAGGGTCCAAGTAACCGGCCATGAGGTTTACCCAGCACTGAGGGACCCAGGGTGGAGGACTTGAAATTCTGAAATCAACATTGCTAAGCAGATTAGCATAGTTGGTTGCCTCGCCTGTGCCAGATGCAGGAGATTTGGGCTACATCAGAACCTGGCCCAGTCCCTCTGGGCACTAACTGCAAAGTCTACTGCCTACAGTGAGGTGTGCACTGTGCTTGCTGTGGGCCCTAGGGATCAGGTAGGGAGAGGTCCTAACCATTTGGGGTGCTTTCCCAGCCCTCTGGGTCCAGGTCCAGGCCCAGGCAAACATACCAGGCTGGTGCTACCCATTGTCTGGCCAGTAAAGTCAAGGCAGCAGGCTTTTCACAGCTGCCCAGAAGCAGAGTGCTAAGGACCCCCTGGAGCTGCCCAGTCTCCCTGGGACTGTCATCAAGACATGAGCATTCTTCATCCTTATCTAGAATGAGAGTGAGCAGGCAAGAGAGAAAGATTGTGACTGGGTGAGTTCCAGGCCCATGGAGTGGTGGCCTCTGGTGCAGGAGGCCTTTCCAGGAACTCCAGAGAAGGGGAGCCACCCCCACTCCCAAGTACAACAGTGGACTTGGTCATTGCTGGGCTCTTGGCAATGGCCACATGAGGACATGTCAACAAGCACCTAGAAAGACCAGCTTTTGAAATCAGATCAAATGGGCCCTCAACCCAGAAAGTCACCAAAATTCTCCAGCTTTCATTTCCTTCACTGCTGAATATAGACACCATCGTCTACCTCCCACTGCCAGGAAAGGAACGAGAGCCTAAGATGAGGGGACAAACCAGGTACTTAAGACACCTTTTCCTCTACCTTTGGTGCCCCAGCTGGACTAGCCTCAGCAATGTTCCATTCACCTGCTTTCCTTGCTCTCCTCCATGTATCTAGCCAAGGCTTGTTGGGAACATGGTAGGCACTGATCTCCTTGGGAACTGCCACGCTTCCCCGGGCATGGTGGGCTACTCCTTGCTCAGGAAATACGAGCACAGCACAGCTTCCCAGGACCACCATTTTTCAACTTTGGACCTGTAGCTCCCAAGTGGAGGCTAGCTCATTATAGGCAGCAACAGTCACAAAAACAGCAGACATCAAAGTGGGCAGGTGGGGGGCAAAGGGAGTTGTGGGGAGACGGGGGTAATCAGTCCATCTCCAGTCAGGTCTAGAGAATCTCTCCAAAATTTCCTGACAACTCTGTGCCCAAGCAATGGCATTGTCTCAAAGGAGAAGGTGGCAGAGGAGAGGGTACCTGCCAGGTAGAATTTGCCTCTTCCCACTGCCTCCTGCCCCTCTCTGGCACTTTAACATGTGGCAGTGGCTGTCAAGAAGTCACCGCCCCGCCCCGGAGGAACCTGACAGGATACAGTGTTTGGGGAGGCAGGACACAGGGTTGTAGACGTCAGCTTTGCTGGGGTTCCTTGAGAAAAAGGTACTTATTCCCTTGCGCGTAGGAAGCTTGGCCACATGACCTTGAAGTCCTCCCAAGAGCAGCCCCAGAAGGAAGAAACTCTGAGACTTCTGGGTCTTCAGAGCCAGGATCCATGCTCTAAAAATCTCTCTGCTCAGTATGGCAGTCACTCACCCCGTGTGGTGAGTGAACGTTTGACAGGGGAACCAAAACTGTAGCGCAGTGGGTCTGGCGAGATGACTCACTGAGTGAAAAGATGATTGCCGCCAAGCCTGACAACCGGAGTTCAGTCTCTGGGACCTGCACGGCGGAAGGTGAAAACCAAGTCTCGGGAGCTGCCCTCTGACCTCCACACATCTGTGAATGTGCACACATGCACATATACACATGCACGCACACACACATGCACACATACACATGAGTGCACACACAAATTAAATAAATGTTGGCAAAAATTGTGGTTTAAGAAATAAACACTCAACTGCTCTCAAGACGTGTTACAAAAACCCACCATAGCTTTGAATACTGAGGCCAGAATGTGACT